TACTATTTCAACAAATTGCTATAAAAGTGAAACTAATAACAATACAGCTACGCCATTTAACTTTAATTAATATGTAAAATATAATTTGAAATTTAAGTGTAACTCAGAAATTTACAATAAACAACTTTTCTACTTCTAGTTGGCTAATTCTATGTAATAACAAATTAAAATGTCAATATTGTGACGAATCTGCCCTTCGGAAAACGCCGGTTACTTGAGCGCACCGAATATACCGGGGTCCCACAATGTGTCGAGACACGTGAGTGTTCAACTTATTGTATATTTGTTGGTGTTAAAATTATTGTATATTTATGTAAAAAGCTACCGTAAACTAAACGTAGCTTTCTCTAACGTTCCTCAAATAACTTCACTTTTTTCGCCTACTTCTTCTTCGTCCTTTTCTTCGCTTCTTTTCTCTTCCCTCTTCCTCACAAATTTTATCATTTTTAATTTTAGACCCCTTCCCCTGAACGTCTCTTCTTTTCTCTTTTACGAAACTTCCCTTTCACTACTATGTACAACTTACTCAGTACTATTAATGTTCGGCCCTAAGCCGCCATCCTGATTGAGGTTTTTCTGGGTTTACTCAATCGCTTAAGGCGTATGCCGGGATGGTCCCTAGGTTTGTTCTCCCAGACGTAAATGTACAGCTTGTCATCCCCTCTTAAAATGTTACTATTCTAAATGTATGTAAATTCAGTGGTTAGGCGGAAGAGCAGGCCCTATGGCCTGAGCCTCGCCATTAATAGAGACATTATTATTATTCAACATAATGGAGGATGTCACGTCGCTCGCGGTAAATTTATTTAGGTGTGAGCGCCAAGCGCGATACCAACCCTTCCTCCCGCGCCAGCTCTAGAGGTCTCAAGGGGGAGACGCTCTGGACGGGGTTGATGCGTATGCTTTTAACTTATTAATTAAAAAAAATCCAATTGATTGTTTAAGAGTTGTCCATCAGAATGGCGGGAACACAATTATTCCAAATGGCACTATTTTTTCATGTAATAAACCTGGACATTTAATTTCTTTGTAACTAAGCAATCCCCGTTTTTGTCATAGCGTTACGGTCCTTTAATGATGAAGGTGATGAAGTTTGGAGTTCCTCTTCTGGGTTGGCGCCCGAACGCGACGCCACGTGATGCGTTCGAGGAGGGGCGTCGCAAGGCCAAGGAATAAATTCCGGTGTGGTTATTTCGCTTGATAATAGTTCTAAATATCTAAATAATGCACCGGTCCCAGAGAGGATGGCATCTAGTGGAGCGAGAAAATTTGTAGGCTTCTTGTTGCGGTTTCAAATAGTCACAGATCTCGAAGTCTTTCAAAGAAATGCGTCTTTGTTCGATTAAAATTAAAAAAACAGCATCTCTCGATGGATTTCAACCTCTCCCCATGGATTTCAAAACGCATCTGCTCTTCTCATCTCTTCCCTGCATTACCGTTCTTGCTTCGGAATGCCCTGTGGTCACGCGTGTGTCGTCCTAGGCCGCTTTTGCTTCCTTAAGTACTTCTAGAATATTCTATGGGGTTGTGGATGCCTAATGGTCGGCCCCGTTCCAACTTCCATAATCTGATCGTTGCTTAGCTACTGGTTGGTTGTCATTGTTTAGCTGCTGTTGATGAACGTCTGCTGCAAGTGGGCGCTCTTAGGCCGCTTGCCCACGCCGCGGCAGAAGACCCTCCGGCGACGACGGGCAAAGGGACCGCAGCAGGTACCTGCTTCGGTCCCTTTGTCGGTCGTCGCCGGAGGGTCTTCTGCCGCGGCGTGGGAAGCCGCGTGAAGAATTACCGCCAGCCCCAAGGATTAGCGAGGGGGCATTTGCAAAGCAAAGAAGCGAGTGTCAAGTACGCGTAGCATGGTGTGATGGTCAAGAGGCTTCCTTGCTTTTGGGAGCGGGAGTCCCAGAGGAGGAGATGTCTTCAGATTCTTTGTTGCGTGTGGGTGGGTGGCTTCGGAAGAGCGACGCTGTCGCCCTTCGTGGTGTTTTATGAGTCTTCGGGTCAGCCGGCAGCTGCGCTGGGGGGGGGGGGAGAGCTTCGGGGCGCGTGAGCTTACGGCAATTAGCCCACGTGAGATGTTGAGACATGCAATATTGAAAGAACAAACACGCGTTGACTTACATGGAAGGCGTTAGTCCTATCTGGGTTAAGATCAACCGCAATTCTTGGAAAATATTGTTTGAAGATAGTAGCCACTGTTGCCGAATCGTTCACTTCTCTGTATTTATATTTTTAAACCAGTATCTGCCATGTTTCTAGTTGATGTCGCACTTTTTACTATGTTTCAAAATGATGTTGTATTTTAAAAGTAGTTTATTTTTTATTTTTCCTGAGTTACTGGGTATCTAACGAAAGTACAGACACAGGCATGGCTTTTTTATGATTTTTTTGTTATTTTTATTTTTCACTTTTTAGTTATCTTCCGTTATTACTTTATTCATAGCTCGTATGTCCGTCAGTAGTCGTAACGCCAGGTAACATCTCCGCCTACGCCCCTCTCGCACCATTCAGCGTCCCGAATTGCGAAAGAATTAGGACAGTGGTCGGGTTTTGCACGCTTCACGGGATTGCACTAGTCTCTGTGAAGCAGGCAAACTCGTTTTCTTGGAACGAATTTCACTTATTGTCCGGGAATCGAATACAGACCTTCTTGGTGAAAAGCAAGCGACTTGGCTTTGAGCCACAAATGACTTAACCCTTCGAATACCAAGGGGGTCACGAAGTTGCCCCAGGAAAATTCAACGGAGCTTTAATATTTTTTACCCTAAATGTAATATTGTTTTGGCAAATTATTTTAATGTACTAATAAAAATATTTAGCGATTTTAACAATTTTAATGCAAGTCTTCGACCACGACGAAGGTGTCTCGAATTCATGCCACTTTTGGAACAAATTGTACCATTGAAATTCTCTCTTTCACATGATACTATTCAACACTTTTCAACTTGATATAATGCACAATCATTCGTGTTTTCCTCGTCTTCAGCGCAAATAATATCAACTTTATATATAGTTTCTACATTATCATCACTCTCACAAAACAATTGTACACTTCAGGATCTAACATGATATTTTAGGTTGGTAAGACACAAGATATCGGAATTGTAAACAATTATAAGACGATAAAAAATAATAAAATATGCGTTGGAGTAACTCGGTTATCCCCTAGCTAGCAGAAGGGTTACGTTCTGGGCGAATTGGAAATTTATTAATATATTAGTGGCCTGCAACAGCAAGAATGCTGCTGAACAAAAGCACACAAAATTATTTTCAATAAGTAGCACGCACAATGCTGAAGAACATAAAATACCCTCATATAATACTGCAATAAGTGATATATTTTGCCAAAACATCTTGACGAATACTGCAGTAACACAGTGTAGTACGTATACAGTACAACAGTTCTTTACTCTCGAAGAATAGAAAAATCTTGCTGTTCCATAACGCAACTAGTAAAAAGCAAATATTTAATAGGCGGCCTCTTTCTTGGAACCTTGCTGTTGTATGACTCTGCTGTTATGGAAGCAGTGACGCACTGTACGAGAAATCAGTCGGTACGCGTAGTACAAGGATAGGACGAATAACCGAATCCAATTTTTGTAATTTAAGTCTAAATCGAAACTGTGTCATTGTTTTCGTCTTTCTCCACGAGATTTTTGCTCTTAGTGAATAATATTTTATTGTGCACTGATATTTCGTTGTAACTTTGCCAGTGAGAGGCAGAATCCATTTTTATTTTCATATTCTACAATGACGTGAATATTTGGACTCTACAAAGGTACTAGTGGACCCGGCAATTATTACACTTCACACGCTGCTGGTAACATTATACATCAAGCTCTGCAAAAATTTCAATGGACGAAATACTTTCTCGCGAGTGTGGCCTCATTGAACGATGCTGAAACGCGATCATGATTCGTGCAAAAAATAATTAATCTCTTCAATTCAAAACTGTTACGGACTACGTTATCCAATAATAGGATGGATGTCAACAATTATTTTAGATTGCAGATTCTGTATTTCATACCTCTGGTAGATACTATGCGTCGTATGGTGTATCCCAATTTACGTATTTTTACTAAGCCGGGAGCGCGAGCAATGTTGCCTGCTGGTGGGTACACTTTGTAATTGACCTTGCCATCAATATAACTTGGCGCGTATTCTGATGTCGCTGCAGTCCCGGAAGGTTCTAGGTTCGAGTCCCGACAGTGGCAGGATAGCCTGTCAGTTAGGTCGATTTCAGTCGCTGTCTGGAGGGGAATTGTAGTGGCCATCCGTTGTTTTTTGCTGTGGTTTCTCCGATCAACACCAGGCGAATGCCGGAGCAGTACCCCAACAAACGAGCTACGGACCGCGCGCGATCTTTCCTACCTTCTCCGTATCTTATCCTCGCCATCACTCCACCACCCATGCCGGAAGACGGCCGGCTGAGGCGGTGTCCGCTGGTGGGAATGACTTGGTCGTTGCGCTCCTGGGACCATCACTTGTAGGTGACCCACAATTTGCAACAAGTAACCACGTGGACGGATTTCATTTTGGATATAAAATGTTGCAAGATGATCCCATTAAAGAAAAAATACTGTCGTGATAGCTCAAACTAAAAAGTACTTTACGTGTCACTTTAGGTAACGATAAATGGTGCATTTGCTATGCTGTTGTGGAATAATCGACCGACTCAATATGGTGTTTGGATATAGATAAACGAATGCCGATCGAGTCGTGGCAGTAGTGAATAGTTGGTGGGCATGATTCTATGTTGATGTTTGTTTCACATTTTTTTCGTTTTAAATCATAGACAGAGTTAAATACTCATTATAGGAGTGTTCGAAGAAGTAATGAACATTGTTTACATTTTTTCGTTTCATTGATTTAATTTTTTTCTTTTGGAAACATTTTTGTAAATTATTCAAAATATTATTGAAGGGTTGAGTGTGCATTTTTGTTGCTGATAATATTACTTTGCTATAAACATTAACTGAAATTGAATGTAATTCTGGTTTTAGGCAATTCGGTGTCGGATAGTGAGGTGAGCGACGCTGACGACATTCTAAATAATGTCACTTTACCTTGTGACATGTGGGTTAGCAGTTCGGATGAAGATGAAGTTACAAAAGAATGTTATAGAATATTTCAGGAATATGAACCGAATAGTGTTGAAAGGAAACCTAAGCCAACATACAAGGTGAGTTGTTATAAACGCATTTATTAAAAACTGTTATTGAGCTGAAGTAACTCGGTATTGCTGGGATGGCATTAACCATTTAGTCTGGGAAAGAAATTAATTGAAGGGCTTGGCTTTAGAACTTTTAATCCCATCGACTCCAGTTTTAGAAACAAGAAGGTAAAGGTTTGAATCCGACATTCCCCGTCGTAGAATAAAGAAGAAATATATCCGTCAATTATTACATCAGCACCAGAATATTCGCACATAATGTACTAATCGCTATGGGGAGTATACTAGTGGTAATATTTTATTGTCGTCGAAAATGGGGCTTATGCAGTTTTATCTATAGTATACAATGGAAACAATTCAATTTCCATCCTCACCACGCCTCGCCCTGGTCTTCTCAGCTCCACGCAATCGTCCTCCACCGGCCTTGGCTCGCTTCACCGTTCCCGTTTCCTCTTCTCGGGTGCTAGACGAACTCCGGGTCCGTGTTCATCTACCTTTGTCCTGGGCCCATTGATCTTTTGTCCCTTTCTACCGCAATGGCGCATGAGAGAGGGTGCAGTTGGAACATTTTTCGGGTTGGGAGGGGATGTTCATTTTTACTTTCTTGCCTTTGGAAGATGAGAAAGTACTGTAATCGTGCGTCGGCTGTTTTTCATCAGACAAAACTCTTATCGGGCCATGGTAACGAAAAAGTGGATAATCTTGTTCCGATATGTAGTGAATTACTTCCTCTAACACGGTGTCTAGTCAAAATCTATGTTATGTGGGTCCTTCATTCCGAAAAATCGATTGGTGGCAAAACGTCTGTCGGTCTGCGTAGGTCTGCTTGTCTGTCGGTCCCCGTCTATCGGTCCGTGTTTCAAACGGATATTTTTATTTTTGGGGGGTACTTAACATGAAGCTTCAACATTTTGTCCAAAATGTGTGCAATTTTTATTTAACTTTCTCGTCCATTCCTTGTTCGTTGCGTGTAGTTGGTGGCCACGGATAGTCTTCACGAGTAATTTACATTGTTCCAATATTGAAGGACTTGACACAGTAATCGAAAGCGTAGGCCACAAATATAGAGTTCGTGCTCGCGTTGTTTACTTTCATGGCGCTGTGAGTCTCATTTGCCAGAGACTAACGTTTAGTCACAGAATTAAATAGACAATATTTCTTAAAAATGAACTGATACATTAGGGTGAGCATGCCGTATCAGGGCCAGCGATGCATGTTTTATTCGTCATTCACTGTATAATATATTGCGCCATTAACAAGTTTGGACGATTCTCACTTTCTTGAAAAACCTTAATTTGACTCGCCAGGAGAAGGAATTTTGAAAACCTGTTTTTCCGAAACCGATAACGTTTTTGCGTTAAACAGTCAATTTTCAACTCCTGAAGAACGCAGTTTGTTACAACGTATACGTACTCTTTTGCAATTGTAGATTTTCGTATTAAGATAATAATAGTGATATTATTGTAAGGCTATCCATGGTCACTAACTTCACCGAACAATGTATGTTCATGTGAATCATACGTGACTCTCAAAATACGACGCCTCGGTTTTTTGTTTACTTTGCTGTATCCAGTTTCATACGGGTATGCTTTCTTGGTGGTACGCATGTGGCAAGTCTATTTTGACGTACGACTACCGCAAGGAACACATTCCAATCAAAGTTCACAGGTTATGAAGTTTCCATGCATAACTGCTGTAAAATAAAATAAAGATATGAATGTATATTTAATACTTAAAGAACATTCTTTTATCTAAAGTTTTCTTAGGTGATAATGTGAATTTATCTATCCTGAACCTACGAGCGGGGATTTTTATGTTTGGAGAATTATTTAGATCTTCTTCCCCTTTGTATAGGTTTATGGGAGATTCGAAAAAGACATCCTACATGCATGCCGTACCAAGCAGAGTGGTATAGAACGTGTCTTGATTGGCATGAAAGAGGCGAGAAAGATCGTTTTACGTATGCGATTGGAAAGCTGCCCGTCGGTAAGGGCTAGGAGTTTAATAAGAACAGCAATTGAGGGGCATATCTTTTTGTACTGGATTATAATTAATATTCTGTGGACTGCGTTCCTCTTGGTGATATCTTTCCCTCTCCACTTTTCCCCCGTCTTCGTATCTGCTCCTTGCCTCTTTTCTTTCCTCTCTTTCTCCCGATCTTTTTTCACGTACGTTTCTGTCCGTGTTTGTTTCGTATCTTATTTTGCAGGTTCCGCAACACGACGAAGAGGAAACTCCAGTACCTGTGAAACGGAGAGTCGCTCACGAAGGTGCCCAGAATAGCAAATTATTGAAACCCCCCGTCCGACGCCCTTCAAAACCGAATCCATCTCAGGTACGTCGACTGTTATACTGTTCTATACCGGATGATTCCAATTGTACTATAATTCGAAGAACATCTCCCCCTTTCACTTTAATTTATTGTTGGTAAAGCATTATATTTGGGAATTTTGGACGTAGTAAGAAACTCAACTTTAAATTCTAAGGATATTTCTGCCGGAGAACTCAAATTGAAAGTCATTCATCATTTTCTGCCAATGAACATCTGCTAAGAAATTTCATACAACTTAGTTACACACAAGACATTTACCCCAAATTCTTAGGCAACCTCAAAATTTCCTTGACTGCGTCAGAATGTGAGCAGCCAAACCTCTGTACTTGCACATGCGCAACTGTATGAAATTTCACAGAACAAGGTCATTGACAAAAGGAGACGTAAAAGTTTACCTTTATAATAATAGTTAAATAAATTTAATAGTTATAGTTTTACAACCTTTACTCTGAGACGCTTGTATAGATAGGGCGCATTTGAAATTCTAAATTCCACAATTGTATTTTCATGAACCTATTTAATTTATAAAGTTTGTGTTCCATCAGGTTTCATGAACCATCAGTTGGGAATCACTACCTCCTTCAGGAGGTACAATTTGGAAAGGCTGCAGATCTCTTGATAGTTGTAACCAATTTTTGTGCTTTCTTTAATAGTAGATATTTTCAGGTTTTGATACTGTTTGTTGTGTTGGAGACATACCAAAGGACAGTGGTTCTTCAGAGGTGTTTTTTGATTCGAGTGATTAGTAGATCAGAATTAAATGAGACAGAAAAGTTTTGATAGCATGGATCCAAATAAGATTTTTACAATGCCTTTTACAGAAGTATGTTGTTATAGGTAGTTTAGATTTCCTTTCTGGTAATCGTTTTAACTGAGATTTATTTGTGCTTCTCATTTTTAATTTCTTATACACATTGTAAAGGGAAATTTACGAAGTGCTGCAAAAAGTTGATTTTAGGGTTTTCAGGGTCCCTGATACTGAAAAATAGTTATAGTTTCATAACATTTGTCAATCTGTCCGAGAGCCCTGAAATCAATATCAGCCTTGGCAATTTTTACTTTCTCTCATACTGAGAAAGTATTGTAGTGCTACAGGAAAAACAGATTTTTTTCTTTGTATTTTTCTTCTTCTTCTTTCTTTCATTGGTATATTTGTAAAAATAGATCAGAATACACTGAGTTCAATGGCAGAAAGCTATTTTCATTCAATTTTCAAAAAATGAAAAATGTGTGTTGTTGTTGTGATTGTTGTTGTTGTCGTCGATTTTTAATCCTATGACTTTGTTATGTTAATTTTATTTTTAATCGCTGAAGCGTTAGTAGGATAGAAGGGACAATATTATAATATTATGTAACCATACCTGTTGTTCCACCACTAGTTACAGTCGACTTCAATTATAGTGAACTTCTGGAGACTAACATTTTGGTTCGCTATATTCGATGATGTGAAAATTAAATAGAAACTCTCCACTATGATTGATTTAATAAATATAGAGATACAGCAAACTACATTAAGAGCATGAACTGAAAATTTGAATATCTTTATTTCTCCATTAAATATTAATTATTTTCAATTGTTTGTGAAACTGAGTGGCATGGGTCATCAGTAAGGTTCCCATTCTGGGTTTGCTACCTTCCCCTCTGGGGAGACTTCTTCATTTCTGCCCTTTGGCCAACAATATTTTTTTCAAGCTGCCTAGTGTTGGAATTTGTGGCACTAAGGTGGTATATTCTTTTCCAGGAGGGAATATATTTCCAGGATGTTGTATTTCCCATGTTCACTATAACCAAGGTTCAGGCTCAATATAAACAAATCTTCTTGTGCTTATTTGTAATGTAAGTGAAATGGGACTAGACTTAAGTTCGCTATAACCAGAGCCAACTGTGTTTTTGGGTATTATACACATTTTTTCAGTACTTTGTACATATTAAAATTTCAAATTAGAGGGATATTATTATAATAATAAAAAAATGTCAAAAATCAACATTTGAAGAACATGTTTCAACTTGCACTTTGTTTCTTTCATTCTGTATTTTATTTCTACCAAACTTGTAATAAAACTCTTATTCTTTCAATCTTGCAATGATGCCTTTATAAAACAGTAAGAAAAGGGTTCTTGTATCCCTCTGCAAATACAATACTAATTGAGAAAAGAGAATTAAGTTCTGTTTTAATTTTTTCTATGGATGTACTTTTACAGTTCAGCTCATCATTGCATGATATAAAAGATACCAAGTGATTGTAAATTATATATTTGACCAACCAACTTTTTTGGTTTTCAAAAGATAACAATACATCCTTCTCCTGAAAAATAAGTACCAAAAGACTTGAATTTTTTTCGTGCGACCCACATAATTATTATATAATGTAACGTTTAATAAAAGGTCTAATAAATATTTTTCTATTTAAGTTCGCATAAGAAATAAGAATCTATGCTAATTTTGATAATGTTGAAAAATGCTTTTATTTAGTTTAATTTGGATGGAATAACAAATGAACTGTGAATTCAGTTTTTTCTGGAAACTAATAATGCTCTTTCAAGTGCCTTTTGGGTTGCTAACTAAATAGTTCAAAAAAGTTTGAATCAAATTGACAAATATATTTATTTCTGTGGAATTATTTTCCAGATTCTTTCAGAACGATTCCAGAAAGTCCGAGAGAGCCATGCTCAAGTGCTTGCACAGGCACAGTTGCAAGCACAAATGCAGACTCAGGCACAAGCGCAGGTGTCCCCTCACTCGCAGAGTGTTCTTGGTAGCCCACCATCCATGCACCAGAGGATAAGTGATGGAAAATCTTCCGCATCTCAATCTTCCTTTTCATCTTTGCTTTCCTGTGGTGGGTTGTACTTCATTATCACAAGACTCCACAGTTCTAAATGATCTTCTAGCAGAGTTAATAGTCTAGTTCATTTGAATTGATTTTTATTGAACATTTGTTTATTCAGAATTGTATTTGCTGAAAATGTGTAATTTCATCTGGATTTGTTCTGGATGGCACATACTTTATTAGATCTTCAAAGTAGAGCATTTCTAGTGTGTTTATTGCTACAAGTGAATATTATTATCTTATTATATCAGTATTATCTTATTCTTTTAGATTTGTTTTTATTTTTTTTTAATTTAATTTTTTTAGTCACATCAACAACATGGTTATTAGCAATTATTTTCTGTTACTTAATATTATTCATCAATAATTTAAAAAAATACAATAGTATAATCATCTTACAGTAGTAACAATTCAAGACAATAATGACAATTAACATGTATTCATTGGAATTAAATGTTCAGAAATAAATTGATGCCTTTACAAAATTTAATTACTCTTTCTTGATCCTCTTTAGATTGGTTGGAGTTCAATAATTTGTTCTTCAGTATTTCTTCTTTTCTGTATAACCCCCATTACTGTCTTAATTTTGATGCCTAGAAGTGTGATCATTGAGCACATTACCCAAAATTACACATCCTCTCTCATGTATTTTTTTATTCAGCTGGGAGAAAACGTATTGCACATGTACCCAATGTGTCCATAATGTTGGATGCCAAACTGAAAATGCAACAAAAATTGAAAGAAAAAGCAGAATCAGCTGAGAAAGGGTTGGGAGCTTCCACAAAGGCCCAAACAGTGCAAAAAGGGGTACAACGTGTTGCTCATGTTCCATCTGAGGTAAGAAAAATACTCAAAAAAAAATTTTTATCTTTCGAATAGTTACAAGGTTATCTTAAATGATGTTTGTTGAACATGATAAGTTAGTGGTGTTAAGTTTTCAGTCTTTACTAGACTGAATTTTTAGGTGCTTAAAATAGACTTTTAAAATGCAGAAAGAGGTGTTGTAAATTCAGCAATGGGCAGTAAGAGTTGAGATAAAAATTACTTTTCAGAATCAATTTTATTTTATTACAGATATATTAGTATGAAATGATTTTAAAAATTAAGTAGCTATTAGCAAAACAATTATAGCAAATAGTGATATACACAGATACAATGAAATACACTTCTGTAAAACATCTTGAACAAAATTATTGTCCTGAATTTGTCTGGCATGAAGAACCAATTTTGTTTGGCCGAAACCTGCGTCATTTATTACTGAAAATCATTTTATCAGCAGGATATTAACTTCCTGTTTCTACACAGTTATTTGGTGTGTACTTTAATTTGGGAGATAATTGGCAATGGACTGATTGGGTCATGCTCTGGTGTTGTACCAGTTAGAATTTTTTATGCAGATTGAAACCAGTTTAATACTGTTATATATAAATTGGAAAAATGGTTAATCAATTTTGTGGCATCTCAGATGGAGAAAATGCCCAATTTGAGAGTATATATACTCTAAAGATGAAATAGGCATTTTAGGTAGTGTAATTGTGATTCCTGTATTATTAAAAAATTGTGGAATGTTTATGTAATGCATTTCGAGAGTCTGTGTCAATGGTGTAAAATAGACATTTATCAGAAAAATCATTGATTAGTCATCACTGTGGTGAAGTAAGTAATGAAGAGCAGAATGTTATACCTTATTATTAGGGATGGATTTTAATGAAATGTAATTTTTTTCTTTTCAGTTTAGAACAATGAAAGACATTCGTTGTAGGTTATGTCAAAATGAAACTAGCTGCTTTTATGTCTCCCCTCCCCCCTTTTTTAATTGATTTTGACTAATAAGTCATTTATCTTTTTCCGTCATTTTTAAAGCATTTTTTGCTGATTTCATCGATTTTAATATAAATTGAATGGTATTTGCTTCAAATAATATTTGTCAGTGGCAACAAATGTTCTCCACAGAATTCTTGAGTAGCCTATTTGATTCCTTTGCTCAGAACTCATAATGTCTGCCGTTGTGATTATATAATCGAAGGTTCCTGTGACGCCTATAAGCACAATTTTCTGTTCGACCAATTTCGGGAAAACTAAAGACGAGATTTCCTGGTCACAAACTTCTGGAAACTGAGTTCACATGAACGAAAGGAAGAAGCCTGGATTAGTATAATCCAACAGCTTGAGTTGTTCTTCTGAACTGGTTTTGATAAATTCTTTTGCATAATTTTTGTTTGCATTTAGGGATTTTTTAAAACCATTAAAGAGCATTTTATTGATAACTTTTGGTGATGTTTTAGGTCATAAAAATTTGCCCCTATTTATTATTGAGCACACCTCGTTTCAAAACCTTGTTCAATTTATTTTAATGCATGAAATATTTAAATTACTTACCTCACAGGAAAACTACTGACAAAATTTATTTCAGTAATTTGGATTTGATCACAAAAATCTACTCTTAATATACATTCAGAAGACAATTTATGAAAAGCTGCTCTGAAGTGGTTCCTTGTGGCAACGAATGTCTTGGGAATGGGGATTTGTTTTATAATGGTTTTGAACTTTATCTTTTTGAATTGTCTAAATGACATGCAGCCGATTGTGCCTCTAAACCACTGAATTGCAGTAATTTTTTGTGTTTTGATGTAGTGCTATGTTTTCTAGTATTCTGCACCAGTCAGTTTGTGCTATAGTTAGAATTATGTTTAATAAATTAACCTGAATACAGATAATATTGAAATTACATGTTGTACCTGAATAGAAGGGATATGTAATTTGACATTAAAATGAATAAATATGGTGTTAATTACATCTAAATTCTATTTCTCTCCAAAAAATTGTACTCTTGTTCTCGACATCCTTCATAAGGTATGTAAAGCCAGTTGCCTCATATTATGTTGCAGGAAATGAAAGAAGTGTTAACAAATTTATGTAAGGAAATGGAGATTGTTAGATCTCCAATGGTAAACAGCTTTGGCTGTAAAAGTGCTGCACAATGACATTATTTGTTCTGATGATAACATAGTATTAAAGCATTCTTATTATTTTCAGCAAGTGTTGACTCGACCAGTTGTGAAAGGTGTTGGAGGCAAGATACCTTCCAATGTCAGGCAGACTTACCTGGACCTCCTGGTGGATGAGTATATTAAAATCTCTTCTAGTAATCAAGAGGCCTATGAAAAGGTGTGAACTGTGTGGGTTATTTATAAGCTAACACATTTAAAATTAGGTTCATTTTCACTATTCAGATGATTCAATTGCAATCCTTCAGGACTTAATTTTCACCTGAATTTGCTTTGTTTTATTTGTCAATAAATATTTGATTTATTGAAGGAATGAAGTACCTGTACTGAGGATTTTGATGAAGTACCTATACCTATACCTGTACCTGTACCTGTACCTGTCTGTGGATTTTTGTTGATAGGCAGAAGAAGAAGAGAAAGCTATTTACTCTCGAAGTACAACACGTGCCGTTTATACCAGTCATGTATCAAATACAATCAACAGGCTTCGGAAAGCAGCACATAATAACAGTAAGTTTTATGCATCATTGTAAAGAAATAAAAAACAACATAGGTATGGTTTAAGTTTTTATGGGATAATGGAAATTGTGTAGATAATACCAAAAATTCTATGAACATTGTCAAGGATTTCACAAATTGTGAAGCTACCAGTAAATCTTTCTGTAAACTTCCAAAGCGTGAGTGATATTAACTATGACTATTTCATGAATTAAATATAATAATAATAATAATAATAATAATAATAATAATAATAATAATAATAACGACAACAATGATAATGATAATAATTAGAGTAGATCCAAATTGCATTAAATCTCTCTCGTAACCCACCCAAGCTCTGAGTCATTCTCATTGGCCCAAAAAGGGAAAAGGATGTTGGAGGGGGAACTGCCCAGCCAAGGCCGACAGAGTGCACTGGCAAAAGATATTCTCTTTTGCTTCGGGAGGCAACGAGAGCCACCTATCAATGAGATCTGTATGGACAAACTAACTGGATGTAGGTTCCTTGACCAAATATTAAATATACTCTTCATTTTTTAACTTTTTTTAAAATGCATTACTTTTTCAAATACATTCTTTCCAAAATTGCAACCTACAACAAAATATTGCATGACTTTCCTAAATATGTAATAGCCTCTGTGCTAATGGCGTAAAAAGTTCCTTTAAGGCTGGAAAGGTCAATTCGTAACCTGTAGTGCGAGACAAATTTTGTTTCAAAATTATGAATTTTGGAAATAACATTGGACATTTGTTTATAAAATTTAAATATACAAGAAACATTCATATATATTTTTTTGTAAAAATGTATCTTCAGTGTCTGCACAGTGAGTCGGTGTGTAGATATGGTGAAAAATTTCATGCTGTAACCATGTAGCCTTTAGCATTGAAAAGTTTCTCCAAATATCAATCCGAGCTACAAGGCTACTCCACGATTTCATTCCTCTGCTTTCATCATTAAACAAATACAGTTAGCAAGTCCCTGTTGGCAAAATATATGTATTATGCCACATTAATGGTTTAAAGTATAAGAAGTTTTTTACTTGAACAGAATGCAGAGTTCCATGCATTGGTATTGTCCATATCAGAAGACATTAATGCCTCAATCAGGACTATGGAGTCTCAGAACTTCACTTTCCTTGAAAAGGGGATCCACTTCGTGTAAATGAACATTATATTTTAAAATTTTCAAGCTGGTTTCAATCTCATTCGTTTTCTCATTTCTTCGATCATTTGGGCTGCAGAGAGTGAGGAAGTGCACAGCTGAAATGTAATTGAATTACACAGGCTTCCAGGGCTCGAGTTTGTATTATCTAGGCTATCTGGGTGGAGTTAGGTCTCTGTCATGTTTGGCAAAATGTCAGCCACCGTGTTCTGGCCTTCCTCTGAGCATACTGCTGTGGCACTCCTCAGTATGCTCTGAAGAAGGCCACATGTTGCCGCAAATGTCAGTCACCACAATAGAGAACCGCTCCTCCCGAAAAGCCTAGATAGCCTACTAAGATGTAATTGAAGTTTAATTACGAACTGCATTGCAATTTTTCTCTTTGAAATTGGGATCACAAACATTACAGAGAAAATATGAAAAATGCTTTGCCATGGATGATGCCATGCTGCTTTCATATTAAAGAAAAGGTCAAATGGTGTGTGGTAAGTTCAGGAAGAAAATCAAAGAACACAAAATGTTGAATTAACGGTGCGAGTGTGAAACCACACAGGTGACATTATAGGCAGTGATGAAGATAACGTTGACATGGAAGTGTCGCTACAGTCATTGGACAGCAGTTTGATGAGTATTGGAAATCACATGTTCGAAAAAAAGAAAAAAAATAATTAAAAAAAATAAAGAAGGTAAATACAGTGCATTGCAAAAATGGATAAAGGAGAAAAGGCTATCAAAGAAAAAATGTTATCAAATTGACAATGAACAACTCGGAACATCTAAGAATACTGAGACAGAAATTGTAAGCAGGCAGCTGAAGATCTGTTGCGGGTTGCAGGTTGAAAGAAAAGTTTGAAAGCACAACAGCAAGAAGTAAATAGATAATAATTTTCTACTTCAGTGATGAAGCAGAGTGGCATTTCTTTGGTTCAATCCTTGGAAAGAATGCTTGTAATGGTTTAGGAGGTACCCTGAGAAGGCACATGTTAGCCTTTCATGAGCGTCAGGGAATCTTAACATCTGACCATACATTCCACTACACAAAGGACAGCATGATAAACATGAACTGTGTCTTTGTGACCAAAAAAGTATATAAAGAAACATATCTGGCTGATTGTTTCTCTAAATCTGTTGCTATAGCAGGAACTTCAAAGCTTAATGCATTCTTGTCAACACACCGAGAAATGTTTCTGTCAAAAACATTTTCCATTTCAAAAGAATTTGCAGAGCACAACATCATGAGAAACAGAGAATTTTTCCTTAATTAGGTAAGAAAGCTTGAGCCTCTTACTGAATAAAAACAATTTCATTCAATTCAGTTTAATTGTTATTATTATTGTTATTTTTTGGTCATGAATTGACCATCTCAGGACCAGGCGAACATGCAACCCACTGGGGCTCAGTCGTATTTATCAAGGGTAGGTGCACATGACTTTTATGGGGGGATCAGCATTTTTATGCTAAATCAGTTTTTACACTCAGGGTTGTTAGCCCTGAGGGATGAGGTGAAATTATAATGATGATGAAGGATGAAATGAACAAATAAACATACAGAGACACACAAATGCAACCATGCCCGAGGTGGGACTTAAATCCGTGATCCTTCTGTCCAAAATTACCACGGCACTCTGACCTTACAAATCTCAGCTACCCAGATTGGCTATTGTTGTTGCTGTTGTTGTTATTGTTGCTGTGGTTGTTATTGATGACCACGCTACAAGTTATCTTCCGAGGCCCTAGAGGGATGAACATGTATAATTATAGAGATTGGCTTTTACGGCTGTATCCCTTGATAAGAGTTAAGATTAAGGTTGTTAAGCCTTGAATTATGAATAATGAGGTGATAGGATGATAATGCAGGGTGAAGGGACAATCACAAATATGACTATGCCTAAACGGGACTCAAACCTGCAGCCTCCTCGGCACAGACAAAGGCTGCCACAACTGTCTGCACCTCAGGGCCAGCTCTTTTTATTATTATTATTATTATTATTATTATTATTATTATTATTATTATTATTATTATTATTATTATTATTATTATTGTTGTTGTTGTTGTTGTTGTTGTTATTGTTATTATTAATTATTATTATTATTGTTTGTTTGTTTTTGTTATATTTTACATAATATTTAGATTGTAATTTGTCTACAAGTAATTATGTCAATTGATCTCTGTATAGACCACACTTTGTTTGTGTCCTATTATTTGTTGATTTGATTTGTCACTATAAGTCTTCAACATGCTAATTAAGTACATCTTAATATTCATTTTTGCCTGTTGCCAACTGCCATCTAGTTTTATTTATTTACAATCCGTTAGGTTAGAGAATAAATGGATCATTTTGTTTTCGTTTTGCCTGATGAGTTTTGTCATTACAAGATCTTATGTTGTTAATTATTACAAATCTTCATATTATAAACAGCGGTTAACACAAGATAATAATTTGTAAAAATTGTATAATGCTCCTGTTACTCTCATTCAGTTTCGTTATTGGTTCACGGTATGGACTAATTTTTGATTTTGAGGTCAAGTTAATGTCGACTTCCATTTGCCACAGAAGTTCTATTTGTTTCCTGATTTGTTAATTTAGATAATCATTTTATTTCGCTTTGATTGTTGATTTGTCACTACAAATTTTCAAAATGGTAATTAAGTATAACTTAGTTTTCTTATTAACCAGTTGCCAACTAACATATCTTTTTATTTATTTACAATTTATTTGTTATTCTAGATAATTTAATGATTTTGATTTCTTTCTGCTTGTTGAGTTTCCTTGGAAAAAATCTAAATTCCAATAAAAACAATTCACGTCAGACAGTACTGATGATGAGTGAACTATAATCAACAACGGAAATACAAAAAAGATAAAAAGAAAAAAACAGAACAAAACAAGCGTACAATGTAACACACCCCTCTCTGACAAGTACATAAAGTACTTAGAGAGGGTTTGAAGTGTACTGAATAAGATAAAATAAATGTAATAAATATATTTAAATTTAAAATTTAAACCTTATAAAACCAGAATTTATACCGAAAGTTTATACCGAAAAGGTTAAACAGGATGTATAATGTATGTAAAGTAGTCAAACAAAATTGGTATTCTTTCTTATTGTTTTTTATGGTGATGGTTTTTGTAAACTGTCAAAGTAATTCTTTTGGAAATAAATTATAATAATAATAATAACAATAATAATAATAATAATTTATTATTATTATTATTATTATTATTATTATTATTATTATTATTAATATTATTATAAAAGCAATAATGGTAGGAAATAGTGAGGCGTCATTGCGTCATTTTGTTGGGTTCATTTTTCCAGGAAGCTTTTTCGGTTGCATTGCGGACATCTTCATTGCTACTAAAATACCAACATATCTAAATTACAATTTTATCTCTTGCAGAATATTATTTATGAATTTTAATAAAAATATAATTTAAAAACAGTAGTAAAAATAGGCATATAAAATGCGGGGGGGGGGAGATAAAAAAAAAGAATGCATGGAATAGAAAATATACAAAGTAAGATAACTGCTAAAAAAGATACAAAGTGAGATAATTGTTAAAATAAGAAAATTGATTTGGAAAGTCATCAGCTATTACTCTAAAATGAAATAAAAATAAAACAATTGTGTAGATATATAAATAAATTTATGCAATGTGATTGAAAAAGGTTTCTGGACTTGACAAAACAACATCTTGTATCTATTTCTATAAAAGCAATAACTTCTATTTATGTTTAACATGTGTTGTAATAATAAATAATGAAGTGCAAACAGATAATTTTATAACATTATTCTGAAAACTGAAAACAAATAATATCTTGGGCTAATTTTCCAATCATTTTTGAGTTTAATGGGCTCGTTGTGCATTAGTCCAAAAGTGCTACAAATACATTTCCGCCCAACACTTTTATGTTCCTTGGACAAAGGTTATCCATTCTAAAGCTTATTTCTTTTTTTTTTCTTAAGTGGATTATAGGTAGACAAGTACATTATCATTCATTGTAAATCCCTTGAAAAAAACATTAATTTTGTGTTGTGTTTTGTTGATTCAGGCGCATCAACATCAAGCAAAGGAGATGGAAAAATTGTAAATAGGACAGTGTCGCATACTTCCATGCTAGCTGGGAAAGTGGGCACAAAGGGATCTTGGAGCATTGAAAAGCCGAGGAAGCCACCTGCAAGTAAGCAATATTTCATTACTCTAGAATTTGATGATCTTTGTATGTGATCTCTTGCTTGTGATAAATCTGTAAATAAATAGCAGATATTTTTAATGTGAATTGCCTTTGACCATTTGCTCAGAAAACCAGCCCGACAATGTAAGTTATCTCCCATAGTTTTTTTTTCAGGTTCTTCACAGTTTACACTGGGTCAAAATGTAGGCATAATTACAGAAATAAATTGTCTATTACAGTAAAACTTCATTTATAGTTTTCTGAGGATTGAAGGGGAAAGGTGTATAAGTGAGAAAACCACATGCCTGATAATTATGAAAATCGGAGGGCAAAATAAAACTTGAATTATTTGGCAATACTGTTGTGCTAGAAACATAATTTGCTTATTGTATTATATTCTATTTGCATGTAATATTTCCAGTATAAAACATTCTCAAGAAAGAAAGCTCGTGCCTTTGAAAAGTCTAATCTTTCTTTGCTTTTCTCTGCACATAAAACATAAATCTCCTCTGCCAAATGTGATAACTAGCCCATAATCACCCATGTATTTCAAACAAATAGTACAAATGTTTACCGTGCAATGTTGACAAATGTTACGCAAAGCCATACGAGGCAGTACACAAACATTACACAAAACCTTAGGAACACTAGTGGACACTCGTGCCCTTGCACCTTGTAGTTTTGTCCAGTCTTCACAGTTCCTATTAGGTTACAATGGATGGCTGATAGGTCTTGCATACCAACAAAACTAAACAACCTGAATACTGATCCAAATACACATTCCTTGGGTCCTCTAGGATGATGTAATCATTGTCATTTACTGGCCATATGTTATATACATTATCTGTAATTATACAGACATATGCGCATGAAAGGTACATAAAATGCATATCTGAAATAATTTAACATGGGAGGTATTGGAATTTGGCTGGGACATATAAACAACAGTGTATGAACGTGATAACGATATAAATGGAGTTTTACTTTATGTCCTTATTCTAGAATGTGAACAATAGTATCATTTATACCAACAGAAGTACATTATTGAATGAATAATGCTGCTTTTTTTCCTAATTCCAAAAATGTGTACTGCTAGTGTAGTTTAGCATTCCCAAAGAAAGGCAGTATCTTTCTGTTCACATTAGAATCTACCCCTTTAATGCCTGTAAAATGACATTATAAAGTGATGTGTAGTGATGTAAGCAAAAGGTCAAATTGAATTCATCCTATTAACAAAACAAACTATTGAAATAAACAAAGGCTTTAAGTCTGTGTAGGAGAGAATTTTAAATTTCAAGGCATCAAACAGTAACTGAAACCATTATTCTTTCATTAAATATGTTGCTGGAACTGGAACTGTAGTTTTGGTTTTGGTGTTTAAAAGATCATCATTGTGTGTGACTTGTTAAGCTAGGTTTGCTTTTTAAAAAGCGACTCGCAGTTTAAACAGATGTCTTGTTTTTTTAGAGAGCTGACATTTCATTATTCTTTCATTTATTTTAAAGTATTGAGTGTTTGTTTTTCTAGGAAAGGAAAGGAATTTCTAAAATCTTTGAATTCAAAGTTCTATTGCATTGTCAATTTCTAAATCATTTAATAAAAAATACAGTAAAACTATGAAAATTGAAATTAAGGCAGAAATAGTTTCTTATTGAAAACAAATCTTGTATTAATGAAAACTTTATCTGGATAATGGTTTGATGCCTTATTAAATTCACATTATTTCTTCTTTTGTTTACTCTAGTAATGTAGTAATGTGCTTTTTTCAGGTGTGGTCAATAAATCACTCTATGAATCATTATCACAGTTCATCATGGCTGAAGAACAACTAAAGCAGAATGGTTTTCCCATGAGCCATGATGAGGAGAAAGGTGTTGCAGTGATTCATAATTTCTATAAAAAGCCATTTGTTCCTAAGACCCCTTCACAGCGAATGTGTGCACGGTGCTCCAAGATCTATTATGTAAATCAGCAGGGGCGTGCTGTCAAAGAAGAACTCTGTGTGTATCATTGGGGACGACTCTTCCAGAGCAAAAGTAATTATTGTATAGAAAACTTTACCCATTGTATCAATGCAGAGGTTCTCAAACTTTCTAATGATTGTATGTATGTATGTATGCAGTATGTATGTACTTGGGGCAACAACCTGTGAACAGGCTCAGGCCCACCGGCAACATCCCTGCCTCACAGCAATGGGTTAAGGGGGTACATGCGGTTAGCACGTGAATTTTCTCATCGTCACACAGCAACATATATTGGACATTGCAAGGAAAATGCACACTATAATCATGCCTTACTGGGAATCGAACCTGGGGTCACATAATGGAAAGTGAGCACACTGACCAACAGCTGATTGTACCCCTTACAAATGTCTAAAAATGTAATGCATCCCTTGATGAAGTATTTCTAAATGACAGTTTTAAGTATTATTTGGTTAAATGATTCATGACATTTTTAATTTATTAAAAAATGATGTTAAATCCAAATGAAATTAGTTATTTTACGACCACAGTAAATGGAAGCCTTGTGTAGAATTCAGAGACCTACATATGGTGGTTTGCCAGCCACATGTAGGCCTTTCAGGCCCCCTATCTATTGAAAAAAGAACTTGCTTATCTGACATTCGGTGATTTGGACAGGTGTTGATATCAATAATTGGTCTTGAAGATACTAATTGAGATGTACAAGGTGGTCTCATGAGTAAGAAAGTCAAGAGTACCTACAATCATCAATACAAACTTCTCTGTAGGTCCCACAGGCCTACATGCGATAGTGAGAATTTCTTTATATTGTTTAGTCTGACAGATTCTTCTGGGATGTTTAAGTCATGAAATTCTATTACAGCATTTTATTTGTATAATATAAACACAAATGTCAATTAACATCAAATTCACGAAATAACTTATTTGATGAAGTACAAAAGGCAATAATGTGTGAATCCCAAGAGAAGTACATAAATTTCTCAATATTATATTGCGTACTCACTGTAAGTTAACCTAACCTCAAAAATGTGTAATTTCTAAATGGATGATTCTAGCAAGAAGCTGCTTTAGAGTGATGTGAACAAAGAATCATTTCTTTTATTAGTTTATTTGTAAATGTAGTGTTAATGTAGGTGGAGTTTCCGCTCCCAAGCTACTAGTAGCTTGCAGGTGGGTTTTTGGTAGATTGTAGTAATTTGTGTAGATTGCAGGATTGGCTAACCAGGAGTTGCTCCACTAAGCACAGAGAGATGACTCGCGAAAACGACTCTTGCTTTCTTTCACGTAACTGTCTCCGTCAGTCCCGTAGTTGAGTCTGACCACGAGGTTATGAATTTCGTGTGTATTAGTTCCTAATTTTGGTCCTGGTTAGTCTAAAAGTGAAGGCAATGTTCAGCTGTACACATATAGAATGTGGGAGGTTTCTTTTTCGAATATGAAGTGTTAATTTGAAAAAAAGCACTCAAATAGTTGGACAGGTAAACATTGCACAATCGAAATGAAGTGGCAGCCACTACCTGCTCTCCAATCATTAAAAAACTTAATGACCAAAAAGAATGACCTCCATCTCATGAAAATTAATGTCTGGTGAAATTTGTTCTTTCATTTCAAATTGGAAAGAAATGTCGAACATATTTATAATAAGTACAATGAACTGAACGGGACCCTTCTATACAAGGATGTGACGCCACGCCGGGCCGGGGGATAGCGGCCTAGGGGGGGGGGGAGGAATGACGTTGGTTAGAAACGGGTTTATGACTGACGATCACACGGTAATTAGAATTAATAACATTGCAATACCTTTTATGGTGAAAAGCATTATTCACTAAAATTAAATTAAGGTGGAGTTTGAATTTTATATAATTGTACATAAAATATTGAATCGAAGTTGAGTTTAAAGTTCGTGGTTTTAGCAATGAACCTTACCATTTTAATTTGTCTCGGAACGTGTCTTGAACACTTGTTTGGCGTTGAGCGCTTTGCTTGCAGTAATCCTCCGTTACTGAATAATTACTACATTTGCCAAGTTTCGTCGCAGTCAGTGCGTTTGTTATCCCTTCGGCCAGGGGGTCGGCGCCGTTATATCCTAGCCGGTCACTCAGCGAGGAACCCAGGAGTCGCGAATTCGCTTCACCTCCCTCCGTGACTTCACAGAGCGTAGTAAACGAGTTCGGCTAGCGTCGCCGCCAATTGTAAGCAGTCCGCCCTCACCGTTGAGAGATGGTGCGCTAGAGCGGGGCGCTGATGCGGCCCCGTCACTAGACCGAGGAAGAGGACCAATTGCTCGAAGCCAAGGCAGTGCAGTTAATTCATCGGCAATCGAACCGGAAACGCGTGATTGTTAAGAAGCACTTGTCAAAGACAAAAACTGCATGTCGAAAACAAGCCGACTTGCCGAGGGCAGCGTTGCCACGTACGCGAGAAGAGAATTCAATGAGGAATCGCGCTGGTCTCTTAATGAGCGGGTCCGTGTGGCCGCAAGGTACGATGCCGTCGTGCCCTTAGCAGCAATGTCCCGAGGACGTTCCCGGGGGCGGCGCTTGGAGGTGGGGCGGTACAAATACGCTCAGTACCCACGCGAAACAGCTTGGGCGCTCCGCCACTTCCACGCTCCGACGCCGCATGGCAGTCGCTACCTTGCCCGGCGATATCCTTGCACTTCGGGACACTGAAGGTGGACGAGCTAGGCTCCTTTTGCTCTCCGAGTCCTAAAAAGGGTTGGTTCTGTCGCGAAGATCGCGGATGTTCCTGCGCGACCTTCCTCTTCGGCGGCTGGAGCGATGGAAGCGCTTTGCTGTCAGGATGTGGCCTTCGGCTGCGCGGTAGCGCCGGCGGGCCCTTTTTATGGCGAGATGGAACATTTTGGAAAAACGAAGCAACTCGAATTTTTTCAACGATTGTAATTTAGTGAAAGATGGAAAACCCATTGTCACTGATATTTAGAAATGCTAAAATTGGCCTTTTTGTGACCTAGATGCTCTAAACTTTTGGTTTTATTGCCCCAGAAGCCAAAAATTAAAGAAAAGTAACAAAACAAATTATTTTTGTGCATAATGTAAAGTTTGAGTTATTTTACATATGCGTTTTACACAATATGACATTATGTAAATTATATATAGTGCAGTTAGTTTGTAATACGTTATTGGATTAGTACACATTTTGAAAACTCTCTCCTAACATCACTCCTTTTCAAATTTATATGAATGCAATAAAGTAACGTTATAAATGAGTTGCATGTGCTATATTATTGTATAACAGCCCTATAAATTTATAAAAGAACCAAAATTAATTTTGGAAACAAATCTCGAAAGCAGTTTTTAAGTTGGCAATGAAATTGGTATTGTAGCATCTGCTGCACAGCTCGCAGCAGCATGGCATACAGCGGGTGGCGTGGACACTGGGACGTGTGTGGAATGCATGACAATAGGCAGGAAGTGGCTGTGGGCGAGCCCAAGGGGTGCAGTTTCAGTGGGTACGTGCCATCTTTGCACCAGATGTGTACACCAGATGTGTGCACAAGATCAGGGGGTGGCAATGTGGTCACAGCGAGGCTATAAAGACAGGTGGGCCGTGAAAAGTGTCAGCATTGTTCTTCAACTTTTGTCACGAGAGAGTCGTGAGCACACCAGTGTGTGTGGGAGGTTGCAAGCTTGTGGTTTTTGAGCGTATGAGGCTGACAGTGCATATGGTAGTTAGTGGATGCTAACGGGGGGCAAATGCTCCTGTATATATATGTAAATAAACTGTGTATATACCAAAGCCATCTTGTCTGTGATTTGTCCAACCCATGACGTCACAGTATTGTGAATCCATGCACCACAGGGATGGGCAGCAAAGCCAGGCAGTGAGGAAGGGTGTGGAGGACAAACTGGGTCTTAAAATGCCAATTTATGAATGTTTTACATTGGAAAAGATTGTTTGTACTGCTGATGTACAATAAAGCACATTACACTGAGGCAACAAAGTTTTAACTACACTTTCTATTGCACTACACTTGCTCATGGAGTATTTATGCACTGAATAAAGAGCAAAAATACAAAGCATTGAGATGTGTAAGTAAAGGGAACCTCATGCTGAAGAGTTAGTGTTCTCATTGCTTTTCCACCGAAGTGAAACTTAAATAAAAATGATTAATAAACAAAAGTTATGTCTTGTGCTTCATTGTCATTAAGCTTAATCTTATGAAAATCAAAATCAGTGTATCTGTATTTTTGAATAAATAAATAATCAGTTTTATTGTTGAATGTAACTTCAAATATAATTTTTTAGTCTTATGTTAATTAAAATAAAGAAATGAAAGATCTTCCCGTCATTTCTCATCTAATGCTTTTATTACAAAAATTATTTTAATTATATTATTTATTATTATTTATTTATATTAATTTTTTTATTGAACTAAAAATTTAACATGTCTATGGTTAATAATTGATTTTGTGTGTCTTGCAGCAAGGGGTGGTTGGGAAGCTAGGTACAATTGCTGCCAAGGTCATGGAGATGCTATTGGCTGTTCTGTTGGCAACTGTCATGTTTCGGACAACTTTGACCCTAACAATCTTCGAGGGTTTGTAAAAACTTTGCCAAAAGAAAAAGCACCACCTGATGGTGACTATGGTGTCTATGCCTTAGATTGTGAAATGTGTTACACGACTGTGGGTCTAGAATTAACAAGGGTCACTGTCATTGGAAGTGACCTGAGTGTTGTATATGAAAGCCTTGTGAAACCTGAAAGCACTATACTTGATTATAATACTAGGTAAGTGGACAAAAAGTTTGATTCAGAATATTTGTTTCATAATATCTTTCGTGGTCTCAGATAATTTACATTATATTTAAATTTCTGCATGTAATTGTCATGCCTTAAGGCAACTCCACATGCAGCATTCGGCGAATCTCGAGCAATTGCTCGTGGAATACCGAGTAGTGTGGGCGAGTTGCTTGCGATTCACAGATTCACGGAGTGCCGAACATTTGGTATTTGCCCTTCCTACTGCGTGTCAGCCTTTTGGACACATCAAAGGGAGCGAACATTCTCTGAACACATCAGCTGTTCGGGATTGGGCGAGTAGTAGCTCGCTGCTCGGCGAATGCCGAATGTGTGGAGCCGCCTTTACATGAATTCATTTGCCTTAATATTGTGTAAATCTAAAATTTATTAAGGCTTCTAAAAAGGAAGTGTGATGTAGAAGTGCGTGATGTTTCTGAAACTATTTGCAAAACTGATTTTTAAATCCAGTAATTGTTTTTTTTTGAAAGAGAATGGTGCCTTGCTTAACTTTTTCTATGTACTGTGTGTGAGGAAGAAATTATTAATGCCTAAGAAAGGATGTAAAAACAATTATTTCAGTTGTAATTGCAGCCTTTTGTTTTTGCTCTTTGCGGCTTTTGTTCTTGGTTGTTTCTTGCTTGTTACAGTAGGGTAACCAGATAACCTCTTTTATCCAGACATGTCCTCCTTTTTATTCTTCGCCTAGGTTCCAGGTGGATTCCTTAAAACTCACAAATGTCCTCCTTTTTGTAACCTGCTTGTTTAAGAGTACGATATTTTGAAATTATGTGTTTTGACCTGTGATATGACTAATATGCCTGTAGGTGGTATCACCATGATTGGAATATTCTCTCTCTGTGCAAATTGAGAGGTACCCTGATTCTGTCTGAACTTGTTCTTAGTAGTTTTGTGAACAGCTGATTATTCAAGAAAGGAAACACATGATTTTTGTTTTCCTAAACAATTATTACTAAAGGTATATCGTGATAGTTTAAAATGCCAAAGAGGAAATGAAAGGTTAACGATGCCTTAGCCAGCAATTATCTTACATTCAAAGTGGGAAGGAAGGAATCTGAAAGTAAAGTTTGTGTAGCTGGAACCTATGTCTCTATTTCAAATGAAGGTGTGTTAGTTTTTGCACGTATCAGTACTTTACATCTACCATAGTACTTCCATACAATATATCATTTACATGCAAAATTTCACATATTATGTTGTTATTTAAATTTTAATGGACATTCCTCTTTTTTCACCAAATTATCCTCTTTTAATCGATATGGATCTGGTCACCCTAAGTTACAATAATTAGAGAATTAGGTAGTTATAAATAGGGGAATCCCCATCAAAGCATGGTACTAGAAGTGAGGTTATTGGTGACACCCAAAACTACAAAATTGTCGGAAATGAGTTTGAAGATACCAATCTTTTCAGCACCAGAAGTTAAGATAGAAGCAACCAATGTCGACAAGATGTTAGATTAACTTTATTAGTTTTTAATTTTTTGATTATCTATGAATTTTATTTTTGGTACTTCCAGGTTTAGTGGCATCAAAGAAGAAGACCTTGAAAATGTAACTACAAATATTTATGAGGTGCAATCTGTTCTCCTTAGTTTTATAAATGATAAGACTATTCTCGTTGGTCACAGTTTGGAAAGTGACTTCAAGGCTTTAAAGGTATTTATTGATTTTTTCACTGAATGAAGAGTATAAAAAATGCATGTTGAGTCGGTCACTTTGAGTTTATTTGAAATGGCACAATTTGTTTTGAGAGTCTTGTTTGCATGCAACACTCACAAAGAGTATAACTGGGTTTACATGTATTAGCTGCCCCTAAAGGAAAGCAAAACAATATGCAAAAAATGTCCCCAAAGATTTTGGATCAACTCTGGGTAGAATATGTTTGGGGAACTTCATATTTCCAAAATTATTGAAAATATTCCTGCAATTATTTTTGCTTTTTATTAGTGTTTACAAAGCCATTCCCATCTGTTTGTTGGTAAAACTTTTATACTAGGTGTGTAGTGGAAAAATAAATAAATTGAAGAAAAAACAATGATTTTTTTATTAAATTGGGGAGCAAGGGGTGGAGTCTAAATGTTTGAAAATATTAGTTTTTCTTGATCTGTGATATTCCACATGGACCCAGTTAAACATGTTTGGGGTTATTTTAAAATTTTCTTATTCTGCTATCATAATCTGCAGTAGCCATATAGTTGGGGAAAATGTCTCAAGAAACACACGTTTGTCAAATTTGAACTGCCAAGGCCACAAATCCATTGCTTCTTTTTAGTTAAAAGTGAAATTGAAAACAATTTTTATCCTCCTTAATTCTTCAGATGTGTAAAACTAACTTTTCTCTTTTTAATTAATTTCATATAGTCAAGGTGGGTTTTATTTTATTTTATTTTATTTTGTTTTGTTTTGTATAGAAGGTATTATTTTAAACAAAAAATTGAAAACAATTGCTTTTCTGGCAGAAGTACTTTTGGCACCTGAGTGGTAAAAATATTTCACTACTGTGCATTTGTCCAAATGGATTTTTGCAATAATTGGTGCTGTAAAATTTCTTAAGAAGCAGTATAGTACAGGTAAACCTTGTTATCGTATATTGTAGAAGAAAATACCTTTCTAATTGTAAGGTATGAGCAATGAAATGAGGCAAATCTTGTTTCAATTCATGACAGTAATAACTAATGGAAGTTGAATTTTGTAATGTAGGAAGCAAAGATTTGTTGTGTGGTATTATGAATTATCTTCCAGTCTCCCTAGTCAGAGATACTTTTTATTGAGAGACATATTTGCAGAAATTGTGTTGTGAAAGTTTGTGTTCTGAATCTTTTTATGAAACATTTAACCTCCCATTGTGACAGGCATGATATGGTACAATATCCTGGAAATAATCTTTGTAAAATATACTGAATTGTAGGTTTCAGAAAGGTTTACATAATTACGATAAGTAAAAGTCATCAGCTCAACATCACTATAAGGTTTTCCATCTTTAAATAAACCATCTGCAGTTCCAGGTTGAGCAGAGTACTTGGTCCTTCATGAATTATTTGGTGCAACAAAAGTATGAATTATTGCATTTTGAAGTTTTCTGCTAAGATAATGATATTTTAATTATTTCACATTAATTTCATAATTGCATGGAATGATGAGAGAAAAGAAAGATGTGGTTTGAGAATGAGATTTTAGGCAGACAGAACAGAGAAAGAATAGATGCAGCATTGAAATTTTATATTGTCATATTTCATAAATTTAGAACACTAATAGAATATTGTCGATTTAATTGGGTCTTATGATACTGCTGTGTGAGAAAGAGGTGTATTTTCAGTGTAAGGTGTCCGCACAACTGGGAAAAATCAAGGAATTTCATTGATCTGGAAAAATCAAAATTTTTAGGTTAATTTTTAGAATTTAAGGAGATGATTAAGATAGTAGATGCTATTTCTTAGAAACATTGTAGCATTACATTTTGGTGCAATGTTAATTTGTTTAAATATTGTCAATTCTGTGTGCCTTTTGCATTCCATAACCAGAACTGGTAAATTAGTAGGCCAAGCTTTGGTTTATTTAAAATTTTCTTTGAATTGTGTGAAAGTGTGAGAAGAAGAAAAAAAAATACACTAGAAAACCAGGAAAAGGTAGGGAAATTTAGTTCCAGAAAGATAGTGGCCACCATGGGGTGGTTTGTAAAGGGAAAATACAGATGCATATTTCAGTAAAATAGAGAAAGCATTATCTTGAAACAACTATTATTTCTAATGTAAATGACTTTAACTATAACATACAAAACAGAGAATATGAAGAAGTAATGAGGAATGTTAATTTGCTCTTCCCGCCTTTGTGATATTATTTGATGCCTCAAGAGGCATTAGCAAAATATTTTTAAAAATCCAATAGGTAGCGTTCAATCTCAACTCAAGGTGACAAAAAAACAACAACAAACTACTTCCAGTTGCTTAGCAGGTCTTTTGAGGTTCATGTGAAGGTGCCTTGTCAGATTTGGAAAAAGACGTATCTAAAGCAATGAGGAAAATACAGGAAGGAAGAATGTGTCCTCTGAAATCACTGATTGTGAATTGACTTTGTCTTCCATCTTGCATTGTTCTGTACTGGGCTTTATGGGACAAAGTTGTATTGCTACTTCTAACTCTCTTCCTCACCTTTAACCATAAATAGTTGATTAATGAGAGTTCCAACTATGCAAGGTTAGTAACTTACGAAAACTAGACATTTTTACTCCTACATATTCGAAACCTAATTTGCATCGGTAAGCAAACTGCAGATTTGAATTTTGTTGTATTGCTAAGAAAAAAAATAATCCCTGGCTCTTCTCATACCAAAACTAGCAGTAAGAGATCTCAACAAAAATATGCACATAGTGAAGCTTCACGTATGTCCAGGAGCTCAGACAGGGGTATTATTATTATTATTAACTTGATTGGCCACATTGGACCACTTGAGTCGTTCCACTTCACTTTTTACTGTTCATGGTCGACTGTCGAAGGTTTTCACCTTGAGGTGAGGATAAATCCTCGAGTTACAATTCTGAATGTTATTCAGAAAGGTAATAATGAGAGATGGAGGATGATGGATCATAGGGGGTGGAAGGACGAACACAATACAACCATGCCCGAGACGGGGCTCGAACCCGCGATCTTTCGGTACGAGATCGCTACGGCACTACTGCCTTAGCGATCTCGGCCACCGGATCGGCTAGACAGGGGTATATGTACATGATATTGCATGATACTTGCAATGAGCTGCATGAAAGCTGACAGAATTTGAAAGAATTCTGAATGTGTAGCAGAATTAACTTAATTTAGTGTTCAATTTATTTATTTTGACATTTCATTTGAGGTTTGACAGAATTGACATACCCAGACATTTTTTTTAACTTTGACATCAGCTAATTGCATATTGTTATTTTTCTTTGGTACATGAGATTGACAGTTTGAAATGCAAAAATGTTTTGAAACTGTGTTTCTTCATTAATTATACATTTGTTATTACGAAGCCAATTTAAAATTTCTGAAACTGTGTATTTAGTTTTGATTTTTTTGCAATGAACATGCGTATCATCAGAAAAATGAATGTTCTTTCATTTCCAGTGGACAAGGGCATATCATTTACATATAAAAGAGAGAGGATCAAACCATGTGGACCTCATGCGCTATTGACAAAGAAATGGAAAGATGAGTAAATAATATTCTTTTATGACAGAATATGTCTACTCTATTTAATGGATGTTTAAGGTTTGAGGATATCCAATCTAGGGCAATACCATGCCATATGAAGGTAATTTTGAGAGCAAAATGATATGCCCAATGATGTCAAAAGGCTTTTGAAAGTCCTATAAATATTCCAGTAGGTGCTTCATTTTGATTCATTGGTGACACACCATCTTCTAAGAAAGTAAAAAATTGTTGTTTCCGTTTATTTTGATTAACTAATTCCATGTTGAGAATTTGAAAACATGTATTTCCTAGGGTATGTTTCCATTCATAAATAGAAAATTACTAATTTTGAGAACACTGACAAAAAGAGAAATTTTCAGATAATTTTGTTTGTAATCTTTGTTGCCATTTTTTAAAAGTAGCTTAACTTTTGCTGGTTTGAAAAAAATTGAAATTTTCCTGTGCATAAAGAAGTATTGAAAATATGACAAGGTAAAGAGTGGGTTTGTTTACATGATGTTCTAATTCGGTGTGTTATCCAAGTCTTGGTTTTCCATAAAATCTTTCATTTACTTGTTTTAAGAGGAAAGAACGTGTTAACGTGAAATGAAACTTTGAGAAAAATAAACTACATTCGTCGTTTGAGTTATCAGCGATTCAAACTACATCTCATGATTCATGTGGCAGGTAGTTGGTAAATAATTTTGACGCGCGGCGATGGTGTAACGGTTAGCGTTTCGGACTGTTGTACCCCAGCTAGCGGATTCAAACCCGATCGAAGCAGGGCGAAAAAATCCTTCGTACGCCTTCCTTCGGAGGGGAAGTAAAGCCGGCTGTCCCATGTTAGTAAATTTACTTGCATGTAAAAGATCCTCAAGCCTAAATGACGCCTCTGAGCTAAATTCAAATCGCCTGTTTCTCGCCCAAGAAATACCTCCTTTCTCTGCTAGTTGATGAAAGGAGCGTAGCGAAATTTGCATGGTCAGACGGAAGAGCGGGCCTGATGGCCCGAGTCTCGCCACGTACAATAAGGCAAATTCCATTCCATTAAATTCCATTCAATTCAATCCCTGAAAATTATCTTTTCATCTACTACCTCTTGTACCCTATACTTCAGGGTATCAATATTTTCCATAGCTTTAGACAGGGACTTCCTTCACACTTATCGGATTGTTTTTCAGCACATGCTTCTGTATCGCCCTAAGGCTTTGATTCAATTCACCAGGATCTTTCCTTGAAATTCCACCAGTTGTTGCATAGTTCCCCATTTTTCTATTATGAGGTTAGCTGCTGTTTCCTTACTTCCTGCTAAAAATTCTGATTTATTTCCCTCCATAGGTCCCCGCTGGCCCCATAGTCCACTTTGCGTCCAATTTACGGCTGTTTCTGATTTATTTTCCTTCCCAGGTCCCCGCCGGCCCCATGGTCCACTTTGCGGCGATATGGGGGGGGGATCCTTTGCTGCTTCGATTTTCTAGCAAAGGTATGTCATGTACTCTTGTATCTCAATCTGGCCGAGAGATCGTGTCCGGGGCATTGCAGTAATTGGGTGTCGACGGTCGGTGGCTGTTTGCTCACCATCGATGGCCGGTACTGGGGATCCGACCCCCCTGCACCGTAAGGCTCT